CAGCATCACAGGTAGTGGCTTAACTCGCTACACCATGTCATCTGCCCCAAAAACACAATTCCTAATTACACCTCATCACTCAAGCAAGTTTCTACTCATCTTCTCTATCTTAGTAACCAGCAACATCTTTCACTGAGTAGTCAAGCCCAACATCTGAGACAGTCTTGATTCTTCTCTCTTCCTTATACACATTATCCAATCAAATAAGCAAGTACTCTGGGCTCTAACTTTATATATACATACATATATATATATATAAAACTTTTATTTTTATTTTTTTATTTTTAAAGAGAGAGAGAGATCTTCCATCTGCTGGTTCACTTCCCAAATTCCCTCAAGGCCAGAGCTGGGCCAGACCAAAGCCAGGAGCCAAGAGCTTCTTCTGGGTCTCCCACATGGGTTCAGGGGCCCAAGGACTTGAGCTATGCTCCTCTGCTTTTCCAGGTGCATTAGCAGGGAGCTGGATGGGAAGTAGAGCAGCCGGGCCTCGACCTGGCACCCCTATGGGATGCTGGTTCCACAGGGGGCAGCTTTACTCACTACACCACAGTGCTGGCCCCTCGGCTCTACTCTTAAAATAAATCTCAAGGTGCCCATCATTTCCACGGCTGTAGTCTCTGACCACATGCCCAACACCTTGCTTGGACAACTGAAAGAACCCAAGTGCTTTATTCCTCTGCTCTCAACCTTCCCATAGCTTCCCATCAACTTAGAATAAAATTCCAAACTTCTGATCTGCTCAATTTTCCAGCCTGTGTCTCCTATTTGGCCCCTGGCTCATCCACTCCCATCAGCCTGCTTGCTCTTCCTAAGACTTTGGAGCTTATCCCCAGCTCAGGAATGCACTTCTTCCAAATAATGACCAGATTTGTCCCTCACTTCATCTGGAACTCTGTCCAAGTGACATTCCTCGGAGATTTTCCAGTCTTCTTCACCCAAAAAGGGCATCATCCTATCTAGTCCTTTCCAGGCATTTTTTTACTTACCTGCATTATTTTCCCTTTTAACACTTATCATCACGGGACAATACCCTACTCATTTGTTTCATTACTTATTGTCTGTCTGTCCCAACTAAAAGACCACAATAATGGCAGAAAGTTTGTCTGTTCTGTTCTCACTAACACCAGTGCTGGCCACCTTGCACAGAGTCATGGTAATGGAATACCCATGATCAGTGTGGCAGAAAAGGAGGATTTGCCTTATTTGTGTGAAATCAGCAGGAAGGTCATCATCATGCAAAAATATGGGCCAGAACAGGAGAGAGCAGTGTTTTTCAGAAGAACAACAAGACACGAGACAACTAGAAATCCGTACTGTCTCCACCATGGATGAGATGAACCCAGTCTCAGCCCAATCTCTTCATCTATTAACAAGAAACAGGGGAGGGGTGAGGAAGGGAAAATGAGGTTACTCAATCAAAAACTTTCAGAGTTCTCAGAAAAAATTAATTCCGTCAATTCAAGGTATTGTTAATATCTATCTGGCCATGTCTGATGAAATACTTGGATTCCATGAATTTAACCACTTGCTAATGTCACTCTTGGTTCTTTAGGCCTGCTGGCAGGTGGCTTGCTCCTTTGTTCTATTTTAATCCTCCAGCTGTCATGCGAAAAATTTGTCTGTTACGAAACAATCTCTTGACCTCATTACCCAGAAAGTCCCTGTTTTGTTTTTGTTTTATCAAGCACATTAGAGGTTTGTGGTGAAAGCTGCATTTTTACGGATGGATAAAAGTTTACCAGAGGCTAAAGTAAGGAGGATGTTAAATGCTTGACCTCCTCACTTGCCCCCGTGTCTTGTGCTCAGGAGACAGAGCTGCTCCTTTCTGTTCCTGGGGCCTGTCTGCTCTTAAGAAGAGGAAAATGCAGAGTGCAAGAGAATATACTGAGTGCCTAAGTGAAATAAATGTACATCGGCAGGCCAGTAGCATCCAGTGCCTTGGGTCCCTGGTTGAGCCTACTGACAACCCTGTCTCCTGATCCTGAAGATCTTCTCAAACATTTTAAAATTTATTTGAAAGGCAAGGAGATAGGCAGAACTCTTCCATCTACTGCTTCACTTCCCAGATACTCACAACAACCGGCGCTGGGTCAGGCTGAAGCCAGGATCCCAGAACTGAATCTTTATGTGAGGGGCAGGGACTCACCACCTTCTTCCCCTAAGGATGCCGGAATCAGAAGCAGAACTTGAACAAGGAGCCAGACGTTCTGTTACGTGATGCTGGTGTTCCAAAGACTGTTCCTAACTGCTTTGCCAAACGTGCACCTCCGGCAAGAGTTGAAATCTACCCCGTTCTATTATGTGATTGTGGACTCTTGATTCAGCATTCATGGGATTCTTTCCTTCTCAAATCTAATCCCTTAAAGTAAAAATCTTATGAGATATAGTTAAAGCTAACATCCTTTTAGTTACATATTTCAAAGCCACACTCTTAAAAGGATTCTCCACACAATTCATTCAATGGATGCTTACTGAGTATCTCTTTTGTGCTAGGTGTTACATTTAGCACTGGGAATAAAAAAGTGACTTAGAGGCATATCCTTTCTTTAAAGAGACATAAAGCTTAGCTGTAATGAGGAAATGTTTCTCCAGAGAGCTAAAACGCATTCATCTATCGACAAATGTCCTGAGAGTGATGGAACAGTGGTGTGTTTAAAGGTTATTTAGGCCTAGACATCACACCAGTCCTAATGAATTATGTGTGGGTGCTTTACAACCACAAGGAGATGCAATTACTTCATTTGTAAAATGGAAATTGTGATAGTACACCTGCTCCCTTGGACTGATGTGAAAAGTCAGTGAGATAATACATACAAAATGCTCAGCACAGTGCCTGCCATGTACTATGTGCTTAATAAATGCCAGTGATTATTTTCAGTATTATTGAGATGCTGCTAAGGTAACAGCTCAAAGGAGAGAAAAGACTTCCATTTGGAGGGATAAGGCAACTTCCTTTAGGAGGTAGTATTTCAGCTGTTTTTTTTTTTTAAGATTTATATTTATTTGAAAAGCAGGAGTGAGAGAGAAAGAGACGGAAAGATGGAAAGAGAAAGAGATCTTCCATTCATGGATTCATTTCCCAAATGGCCACAATGGCTTGGGCTGGGCCAGGCCAAAGCCAGCAGCCAAAACCCCATAAAGGTCTTCCATGCAAGTGGCAGGGGCCCAAGTATTTGGGGGCATCCTCTGCTTCTTTCCCAGGTGCATTAGCAGGGAACTGGATTGGAAGAGGTTTTGCTGGCCCAAGCTGGATCTTAGAGTAAATCAGACTTGAGCGTATGAACTCAACATAGAGAACAAAGAGAAGGTTGTGTTGGGGGAATGATGAACAGTTGGTGATTTTTGTTGTATTGTGTGTTGTGTGTGTGTGTTTGTGTGTGTGTGTGTATTTGAGCTAGTTTTGTAGGAAAGACAGCATGAAGAATAGTGGAGAATTCATGTTGAAGAGATAGGCTACAGCAGATTACGAAGGATCTTGAATGCTAGGTTGAAGAATTTGTGCTTAATTTCAAAGACATTATAGAAATTCCTAAGACTCTAAGTTTGGGTTAGAAAAGGGAAAAAAATAGTGTTATTCAGGAGGATTGAACTGGAGGTGATGGGTCAAGTGCTCAGCCTGTTTGTTAAGATGCCGGTTAGGATGCCTGTGCTGGACCTCAGCGTGCCAGGTTTGATCCCTGGCTCCAAATCAGGATTTCAGCTTCCTGCTAAAGTGGACCCTGGGAAGCAGTGGTGATGACTCAAGTGATCTGGTCCCTGCTGGCCTTGTGACATACTTGCATTGAATTCTTGGCTCCTGGCTTTTGCTTAGCTCAGCTCCAGCCCTCATGGGCATTTGGAGAGTGAGCCAGAACATGAGAAATATTCTCTTTCTCTCTCTCCTCTCGAATCAGTCACAGAGGAAAATGATGTGAGGGGATGCACTTGAATCAAGGAAGCCAAGCGGAATGCTATGTAGATGTTTAGACAAAAAGTGATGCTACTATGCTTTCCCCTCCCTCTGAATGACCACAGCCCACAGAGCTCATCTGGAGCCAAAGAATCTTTGCTGTAGGCAGTAGCAGTGTTAGAGATAAGCTTTATTGTTGCCCATCCTTGAACTAGAATTACCATAGAAGAGGTGAAAGAGTTGTTGATGGTATATATCCAGCAAACACATCCTGCACTCAAATGGAAAGGGGGACAGTCAAATGGAAAGGAATCCGACAGTTACCATAAGTCACAAAATGGTAGCAAAGTCTATTGCAAATTGTCAGGGATGGAGGACTCAGTTTATGATTCAGACAAACCAACTGTTCTCTCCCAGTATTTTGACTAGTGGGGTAATTCACAAGTCGAATGGTCCCTTGGGACCTAGACATTTGAGCAAGGGTGTTTTATATGATTCATAGTGGATTTTGGCTTTCCACAGGACTCCTGTGCCTCATCTAGTAAACTCTGATGGAAATTACAAACTGTAGAAATTCAACCCAGTGCCACAATAACAGGATGCACCTGTAGATTTCGTAGAATTAGCAGCAGCATTCTACCAGCACCAGGTTGACAAGAAAGAACACCGCTGGCAGAGTGCCTACTGAAGCAGAACTTGAAATGTCCAAAGTTTAAAACCAAAGGCCACTTTTAGTATCATTCTTTAAGTCACAGGAGTGGTGAACATCTGGCTCATGGTTCATATAAGGCCTGCGAAATCATTTGTTCTGGCCACGCTAAGGCAACCACAGGTAGAACTCAAAATTCAGTAACTGTATAGCAGGCTAACTCTTAAGTCGATGGTTTGGTAAGGCCTGCAAATGATGTTCTAAATACCCAAATGGTTCCCCATGCCTGTGAGAGAGAGCCAAGCTTGGGGGTAATATTGCTTACAAAATGACAAGGCCCCTTCAGGAACCCAGGACACCATGGTTAAGCAACTGATTCCGAATCTTAGGTTACTCACCACTTGGCCTCTCTGTTGCTTCGTTCTTACCGATCTGAATATTGGAAACCAACCCTGAAACCACTAGACTATTGAAACAGATCTAGAGTCTGACAACTTTAGGAAATGCTGGTGAATTGCCAAGGATGTCCCTCCACACTCCTGCTCAACTTGCATTTACAGCTCCTGAGGGCCCTGCTGATTCCCCAGGGAGCTGCAAAGCTGCTGGGCGTGGTTGGGGGGCTGCAATTTACAAAATGCTAAATGAGCCCACTGCCAAGAAGTGCTTGCTCACCCCTCCTTCAACGGCAGGGGGAATCTCCCTTTCCTTTTATGGGTGAAGCTGAAGAAAGGATTCATAACTGAAGTTTAATCCTTCTCACCAAACCCAGCCCACACCTCCCAGCAATTGAACTTGAAAAAAAAAAAAACTCGTTTGAAAAATTACCACAAACTATATTGTCATCAAAACACACACACACACACTCACTCACACACACACACACACACACATACACTTCCTATATTTGAGATCAGAGACCAGAGTGCTAGGCACAGTTTCCTGGCTGAACACACCAGTCTAATACTCACAGGGTACAACTCCTGTCACGGAGACTGGTTGGAACGGCAAAGATGACAGCCCTGGCGGGTTGATCTTTTCATCCCATATCCTCCCAGCGTAATGCAGTAAAGAGGCTGACGGACAACCCAGTATTCTGCAACAAGACGGCCTCAAGCTGATTCCCAGCGCCAGGGAGATGGAGCCACGCTTGCTGCTCTGGGGATTAGTCACGTTCATCATGGTGCCTGGCTTCAGGACAGGTAAGGTCATGGGTGCCCTCTGAGTCTTGGGAAGGCCAGTGGACATCACCTTCCCCGGACTTAGAACCAGAGGGGACTCCTAAGTAGAAAGTCCCCAGAGGGGTTGAATGTTGGGTTCCACGGCTTGTGTATGATTCCCTGGGGCCTTCCTTTATGCCTCAGGGGTCACCAGTCTGTAAAGAGAGCTTGGGATGGGGTTAGGCTCTCCTGTCACTCACAGTCCTTGACAGCTGATTCTGGGAAATACAGAATGGCATGATGTTTGGAAATCAACAGGCCACTGATGAACAGATTCCTTAAGAAGTTCTCTTTCATATTCCAATGAAGTCGATTTTCCACTGCAAGTCCCTACCCCCCAGTCCCAGCAGTAAGATAACACTAAAAAGTTATTTGGAATCTCAATTGGCCTGAGGCATAAGTAACTTGTATATGGAACACTGGGATCATACAAGAGCTCAGAAAAGTTTACCTTCCAGAACATGTACTGTGCTTTGACTGCTTCTGGAAATTGTACTTAGGAAGCTCCTTAAAACTGCAACTTAATAGAAATGCTAAACAATAAACATACTTATGTCCAGACCATTACTTTTTCCTAGGCTCCTACCAAAATGTACATTGTACATGTGTGCTCATATATATATATAATATATATACACATATATGCAAATTTTGATTCATCCTGGGTTTTCTCAAAGACTATTGTAAAACAGAAATCAAAAAACCACCAACTCATACCTCAAACCACCTTTCCTAATTGAGTGTAAATTCTCTAATAACATCTTCCCTTGCTAAACCAGAAAGACAGATATGAAAGTATAAGGTCTTTTTTCTGAAAGTCTATAATTTCATATCACGAGTTTCAATCAGTTTAATGCTAAGTGACTATATTAAAATGTGTCAAGAAGTGCAACATGATCATGCATAGGAAGAGCTTGTTTCCTTGTTTGGTGAAGTGGCCAATTTGTGGAGTGCTGTGGGTTGCCTCAGGCGTAGGAACTTCTCTGCTTTGGATTTAAAGTGGACATGATTCTAGGAAGGTTTACAGAATAATTTCTGCCTCAACAGGGATGTTGTCGAATCAATCCCAGCCACAGCAGCAAAATCTGCACAATTACTCTCGCCCTATCTTCGGGAAGCACATTTCAGGCAGTCTTGGCGCTGTTACCAGCACTGGTGACTCCTCTGAGGATCTGAGCAGTCTCATTGGCAACGAGCCCAGTGGAGTATCGTGCAGACTCTTTCTCTCAGTTCTCTAGAAATCCATCCCCCACCACCTCTCAAGCCCCTTTTCAACACCGCTGAAAATACCAAGTCCTGGCCCTTAGGAGATTGATGGCCTATGTGGTAAGATCTACAGGAGAGTGAAGGCTATCAGAGAAGGCTTCATGGAAGTGACAGGCAAACAGAGCCTGAAGGGGCTGGCGCATGTCCACAAGGGTGTCAGGGAACAGCACGTGGTCTGCTGTATAAGCTCCCTGCACTGGACAAGCGTGTGGAGAAGCGGGAAGTAAGACTGGAAAAGCAGAACTGGGTCGAATGAATGATCCAAGGTCTTAGATAGCAGGCCAAGACTTTTAAACCTCACATCATAGCCAATAAAGAATTAATAGAAAAGGCTGGCGCCGCGGCTCACTAGGCTAATCCTCCGCCTTGTGGCGCCGGCACACCTGGTTCTAGTCCCGGTCGGAGCGCCGGATTCTGTCCCGGTTGCCCCTCTTCCAGGCCAGCTCTCTGCTGTGGCCAGGGAGTGCAGTGGAGGATGGCCCAAGTCCTTGGGCCCTGCACCCCATGGGAGACCAGGAGAAGCACCTGGCTCCTGCCATCGGATCAGCGCGGTGCGCCGGCCGCGGCGGCCATTGGAGGGTGAACCACAGCAAAGGAAGACCTTTCTTGCTGTCTCTCTCTCTCACTGTCCACTCTGCCTGTCAAAAAAAAAAAAAAAAAAAAAAAAAAAAAAAAAAAAAAAAAGAATTAATAGAAAAAATTTTAAATTACTCTTTATGGAAAACCTTTTATGTGCCAGGCATGTAAGTCATTTATTTTTTTAAGACTTAGTTATTTATTTGAAAGGGAGAGTGACAGAGAAGGCGAGAAAAAGAGAGAGGGAGATTTTCCATCTCATGGTTCACTCTGTTAATGGCCCCAACAGCCAGTGTTGGCCAGGCTGAAGCCAGGAGCCAAGAACTTCATCCAGGTCTCTCACGTGGGTGGTAGGGGCACAAGCACTTGGGCCATCCTCTGCTGCCTTCCCAGGCACATTAACAAAGAGCTGGATCAGCAAAGCAGCTGAGACTTGAACTGGACTCTCATATGGAATGCCTCCATCACAAGTTGTGGCTTAACCCACTGCACCACAGTGCCACCCCTAATCCTTACTTTAATTTTCATAACCACTTTGCATGTGGATGTCATGAGCCCCTAGATAAAGAAGTACCCTAAACACAAAACCTCAGAGGCTGAGGCAGTGCCAGGTCTCAAACCGCCTTCCCTAGGTTGTTCTCTTTCCTTTCACTGAAAACAGGGTCAGAGCTTTTTTTTTTTTTTTAACTTTTATTTAATGAATATAAATTTCCAAAGTACAGCTTATGGATTACAATGGCTTCCCCCACCCCATAACTTAACTTCCCTCCCACCCACAACCCTCCCCTTTCCCTCTTCCTCCCCCCTTCCATTCACATCAAGATTCATTTTCAATTCTCTTTATATACAGAAGATCAGTTTAGCATATATTAAGTAAAGATTTCAACGGTTTGCAGGGTCAGAGCTTTTTGAAGATGACTCTAGCATAGATTAGAGAGTGATCAGGTTCAGGGAGACCGGTCATGAGACTCTGAAATTGTTTGATCCAGAGGTAAATGAGAACTCAAAGGCTGAAGCAAATGAAATGGATTGAGTTTCTGGAATGAACAGAGGGGCTTAGGGCAAAAAAACCTCACTCAGGCTTTTTCCTCCAATAGGAATCTGGTCTTAAAAGCTATTTATCTTTTAATTTCTCAGGTGTGAGAGCTCTCTAATGAAGTCAAGCAGACTGTCAACAGATGCAATTTCTAGCTGATTCATAAGGGAGATTTTCATTCTGAAAATTTCCAAAGCCACCATTTCAAATCGTGATGGAGTATGGGGGAGGTATTAGTCAATCTGGGTGTTTTTAGTCTCTATATTACTGGGTCCTGGGATGTGGTTAAAAAGAGAATTCTCCAGATGTTGCCAACACAGAGTGTTATTAAAGGCACCTTTCATAGAACTGTGGAAATTCTGATCACCAACATGTCCCCTGGCCATCTTTCTTTCATTCTAGGAATTCTGTGATCAAAGCTTCATCTCCTAGACATTAAAAAAAAGTGCAGAAAGAGATATGTTTGTCTAATTATCCCTTCTTGTAAGACTCCTGCTCACACTGGAATTTCCCATCTTGACCTTCATCATTCAAACACAAAATGTTTAACTCTTCACATTTAAGCCTTTACATAAAGCCTTCACATAAAGCCTTGCTTTAGGAAGTATCACCAGTCTTACCTTGCGCATCTTTAAGATAGACTTTGGAAGATAGGGCTTTGGTAAGCAAAGGGCATATTGTATAAAGCAGCAGCTGTTCTCTATAAAATGGTGTGCTTTTACTAGTCTGATGTATCACCCGTACATATACTCCAGTTCAGATTTTAGAGTTGATAAAAGAATTGACTTTATCATTCTGTCCAGAAAGAATTGACAGTGGTGAAGAATGGCTAATGTGCTCTACAGCTGTCCACCACCCCGTCCACCTCAGAAGTATTCTCAGACTTTTTTGTTGTTGTTGTTGTTCTTAAAGCCTCTGGTATTCTGGATAATTCTGTGCAATTTCCTGTTGCCATAATCCTTGTAACATAGCAATAGACATCAGTAAGGCAGGTGATCTTTCAATATAGTGGCCATTCGAGTTAATTTCCTGCTCCCTTCATTGTTCAATGTGCAGTAGAAACTTTATAAATAATTCCCACAGAAAGTGGGACATGTCACCTGCACTCAGTGGGAAATATAATTAGGAAGAAAATGAACTTTTCAGGAACCCAAAAGTGGACAAAGGTATCTCCTAGTGACACTGTTGGAGAACCAAAGAGGAACCATGGAAAAGGACACAGTGTCTGACAAACTTCTGTCCACAAAATGAAGAGATTGAAATTTCTGACCATAAAATGAGGTCTTGGAACTCCCATTTCTATCACTCTATGTCAAGAAATCTGAAAAGGAAATAAAATAAATTCTGCTTCATAGGTACTTCAAACTGGGGTACTTTGGGTTGGAAAACTTTCCCAACTGAAGACAGACCCATCAAGGTCAGGCTTGAGAGAACTCTGTCATCAGACAAAAGGCTGACATCTCATTGTAGGTTATTTCCAGCTCTGAACAGGTACTGCCCTGCACTTGAGGGTGGCCCACTCACTGCTTCTGCAATTTCTGTGGTTGTAGGTGTCAGGGCAAAAGCACCACTAATCGGTGATGAGGCCTTCTGCTGTTTGCTTGTAGAGGGAGTTTTTGCCTTCTGACAGTGTCCTTGTTCTTCATAGGAGAGGTTTTACATACACAGGGACCTGTTTCTCTTCTCTTTATTCCAGGTCATTCCTTGCGAGAAAACAAAAGACGATCTAAATCCAAACAATTGCTTCCAAAAAACTGTTATCCCTTCATCCCAGAAAGCATTCAGATAGAGGCTGGATCAGAATCCAGGACCCTTAAATTTCAGTCCAGTATTCCCTACACATCTTCACGGTGATGCTCAGTGATATACCTTCAACTATCCACTCATGCACTGGTATTAGAGGGATGAAAAATGTTACAATCCTTGTTCTCAAACTACTCATCATTTAACAACAGAGATGTAACATCTGCTAGGCAATTTCTGTCTTGCAAACTGCCAAGGAGAAGCCAACAGTAGTTGCCAATGAGTCAACATCATCAATGAGTCCCCCAACATGGTTTTAAGTAAGTCACTCATTTAGGGGAAAACAATAATATAATAATCT